GATTGGCATGGAAAAGTTAGAAACAAAGAAGAATCACCGGTAGTTGGAAAATATAGCCTTGGTGATAGAAATAATGCTGGAGAATGCATGATAGAATTTTGCAAGACCAACAACTTACTCATTGCAAATACCTTTTTTCAACAACACAAATGGTGGCTATACATGTTGACTTCACCAGATGGAATACATAAGAATCAGATCGACTACATCTGTGGCAAGAGGCAATGGACAAGCTCAATATCTTCAGCCAAAACAAGACCAGAAGCTACTTGTGGAACAGACCATCAACTGCTCATATGAAGATTCAAGTTGAAACCGAAGACAATTAAAAAAAAAAAAATCCATGAGAGCAAAAATATTACTTTGATTATATCCCTCCTGGATTTAGAGACCATCTAAAGAATAGCTTTGATACACTGAACACCAATGACTGAAAACCAGAGGAATTGTGGGATGACATCAAGAACATCAACCATGAAGAAAGCAAAAAGTCAATAATATGACAGAAAAGGAAGAAAAGGACAAAATGGATGTCAGAAGAGACTCCGAAACTTGCCCTTGAATGGAGAGTAGCTAAAGCAAATGGAAAAAATGACAAGATAAAAGAGCTGAACAGAAGATTTCAAAGAGCAGTTCAAAAAGATAAAGCCAATTATTATAATGAGATGTGCAAAAGCCTGGAGTTGGAAAACCAGAAGGAAAGAACATGCTCAACATTTCTCAAGCTGAAGAACTGAAGAAAAAAATTAAACCTCAAGTTGCAATATTGAAAGATTCTATGGGCAAAACATTGAATGATGCAGGAAACATCAAAATAAGATGGAAGGAATACACAGAGTCACTGTACAAAAAAGAACTGGTCAATGTTCCTCCATTTCAGGAGATGGTATATGATCAAGAACCAATGATATTGAAGGAAGAAGTCAAGACTACACTGAAGGAATTGGTGAAAAACAAGCCTCCAGGAATTGATGGAATACCCATTGAGATGTTTCAACAAACAGATGCCATGTTGGAGGAACTCACTTAGCTATGCCAAGAAATTTGGAAGACAGCTACCTGGCCAACTGACTGGAAGAGATCCATATTTGTACACATTCCAAAGAAAGGTGATCCCATAGAATGTGGAAACTATCAAACAATATCATTAATATCACATGCAAGTAAAATCTTGCTGAAGATAATTCAAAAATGGTTGTAGCAGTATATTGACAGAGAACTTCCAGAAATGCAAGCTGGATTCAGAAGAGGATGTGGAATGAGAGATATCATTGCTGATGTCAGATGGATCTTGGCTGAAAGCAAAGACTACTAGAAAGTTGTTTACTTATATTTTATTGACTCTACAAAAGCCTTCAATTGTGTGAATCATAAAAAATGATGGATAACATTGAGAAAAATGGGAATTTCAGAACACTTAATTGTACTCATGAGCAACTGTCCATAGACCAGGAGGCTGTCATTCAAAGAGAACAAGGGGATACAGCATGCATAGTTTAAAATCAGGAAGGGAATGCTTCAGAATTGCATCCTTTCACCATACTTGTTCAATCTGTATGCTAAGCAAATAATCCAAGAAACTTGATTATATGGAGAAGAACGTGACATCAGGATTGGAGGAAGACTCATTAACAACCTGCAATACACAGATGACACAACTTTGCTTGCTGAAAGTGAGGATGACCTGAAACACTCACTGATGAAGAATGAAGACTACAATCTGCAGTGTGGATTACACTTCAATATAAAGAAAACAAAATCCTCACAACTGGACCAGTAAATAGCATCATGATAAATGGAGAAAAGATTGAAGTTGTCAAAGATTTCATATTATTTGGTCCTACAATCAACACTAATGGAAGCAGAAGTCAAGATATCAGATGACATATAGCATAAGGCAAATCTGCTTCAAAAGACCTCTTTCAAGTGCTGTACAGCAAAGATATCTCCTTGAAGACCAAGGTGCACGTAACCCAGGTCATGGTATTTTGAATCACCTCTTATGCATGTGAGAGCTGAACAATGAATAAAGAAGACCGAAGAAAAGTAAATGCTTTTGAGTTGTGGTATTGGCAAAGAATACCGAGAGTACCATGGACTGCTAAAAGAACTGACAAATCTGTCCTGGAAGAAGTGCAACCAGAATGCTCCTGGGAACAAGAATGGCCAAATATTGTCTCATTTACTTTGGCCATGTTGTCAGAAGGAACTATTCCCTGGAGAAGGATATCATGCTTGGAAAAGTAGAGGGTCAATGAAAGAGGGGAAGGCCCTCAATGAGATGGATTGAACAGTGGCTGTAATGATAGGCTCAGGTATAGCAGGGATAATGAGGCTGGCACAGGACCAGGCAGTGTTTCATTCTGTTGTACATAGGGTCATTATGAGTCAGAGACGTCTTAACGGCACCTAACAACAACAACAACAATCTTCTGTGGGTTGGCAATTTGTGCCAGGCTCAGCAGGGCTGTCCTTCTGTCATTGGCTGCATTTTGTTGTCCTCATCTGAGCTCAGTCACGGGTCTAGGGCCTCATCTGAGATGCTTAGGATGGCCCAGATGGCCAACCCTCTCTCCGTGTTGGCTTTTCTCACTAGTCAATTGTGGAAATTGTGCCAGAAGAGCTCCCAGGATGAGAGCATAAGTCCCGAGGGATATAATATCACTACTGTAGTATCATCTTGATCCAAATAATTCAAAGTCCATACCAGCTGAAGCTGATGGGAAAATGGATTCACTTCTCATCAAAGGCAGCTGTAAAGACTTTGTGGCAGGAAATAGAGTAGGATCAAATCCTCAATAGGCTGAGCAATCCCAAGAACTTCTGGTCTGATGCCTGGTGTGAGGGTTTTTGTTTTCTTTAAATTGAAGTGGAATCCACACTGACGGTTGTAGTTGTTGATCTTCATCAGTTACTGCTTCAAGTCTTCTTTGCTTTCAGCAAACAAGGCTGTGTTATCTGCATATCACAGGTTGTTGTTAATGAGTCTTCCTCCAATGTGATGTTGTGTTCTTCTTGTTTCTTGGATTATTTGCTCAGCATGGAGACTGAATTAGTGTAGTGAAAGGATACAACCAGACATACACCTTTTATAATTTAAACCATGCAATATCCCTTTGTTCTGTTTAAATAACAACCTCTTGTTTTATGTACAGGTTCAACATGAGCAAAATTAAGTACTAGAATTCCCATTCTTCACAGTGTTATCCATAATTTGTTGTGATCCATACAATTAAATGTCTTTGCATACTCAATAAAAAACATAAATATCTTTCTGGTATTCTCTGCTTTCAGCCAAGATCCATATGATGTTAGCAATGATATCCCTTGTTCCATATCTTCTGAATCCAGCTTGAGTTTCTGGCAATCAACTGTCAACGTACTGCTGTAACAGTTTTTCAATTATCTTCAGCAAAATTTTATTTACATGTGATATTAATGACTTTGATAATTTCTGAATTCTGTTATATCACCTTTCTTGGGCATAAATATGGATCTTTTCCAGTTCATTGGCATGGACAAGTGAACATTTCCAGTATTGTTCAATTTGTTGAAACATTTGTTGAAACATTTCAATTCTTGTTCTGTCATTTCCTGGAGCCTTGTGTTTTGCCAATATCTTCAGTGCAGCTTGGATTCTTCCACCAGTTTGTGATCACATGCTGCCTCCTGAAATGGTTGAACACTGACAAATTCTTTTTAGTACAATGACTGTGTAGTCCTTTCATCTTCTTATGTTATTTCCTGAATCATTCAATATTTGGCCATAGAATCCTTCAGTATTGCAATGCAAGTCTTGAATTTTTTTTAAGCTGGAGAAAGGCCAAACATGTTCTCCCGTTTTGGTGTTCTAACTCCAGATCTTTGCACATTTCACTGTAATACTTTACTTTGCTTCTCAAGCCCTCCACCCCTTGAAATCTTCTGTCCAGATCTTTTTCTTCCACTCGCTTTAGCTACTCTGCATTCAAGAGCAAGATTTATGTCTCATCAATTTTAGTATTTTCTTCTTTTCCTGTCTTTTCAATGGCCTTTTGCTATCTTTATGTATGATATCTTTGATATTATTCCACAACTTATTTAGTCTTCAGTCATCAGTGTTTTCAACGTGTCAACTCATTTGGTCTTCAGTCATCAGTGTTCAACGTGTTAAATTTATTCTTGAGATGGTTTCTAAATTCAGGTGAGATATCGCAAAGTTATACTTTGATTCTTATGGACTTGTTTTAATTTTCTTCAGCTTCAACATGAACTTGTTCTGTTGTTCCCTGGCCTAGTCTGACTGATGATATTGAGCAAAAATGTATTTGCAGAGTCTTAAAGAGCAAGGAATTTCATTAATATGATGTCTATTTTGAACGTGTTGCCCATGCTCATCTTCCAGGAATGTGGAAGCAAACTGGAGGGAGAAGGTGTCCCTCCTGAGGACATCTATATCAGGAGTCAAGTCAGGAAAGCTTTACTGGGACAGCCAGACCCATTTATTTACATATGGCTGCTTTCTCACTGAGGCAGCAGAGCTAAGTAGTTGAGACAGAGACTGTGTGGACAACAAAGCCAAAAAATAATTATAATATCTGGCCTTCTACAGAAACATTGTAAGACTTCTGATCTAAATCAAAACCAGACTGTGAGAGGGCTTGTAAGCTCTATTAAGGCAGTATGTTGCTATTATGTTTCATTAAGATCTTTTTTACAACTCTGTTTTAGGGAAGTGATTTGGGGAAGGACGCTCAGTGCATTGTCCCACGGGAACACGGTGGCCTGCTACTGCCTGGCTTTCTTCGGAAGAAATCTTCTCTCACTGGATTTCCAGGCCTTCAGCGGAGGGCACTGCGGGTCCCCAGAGTGGGTAGCCCAGGTCAGGTTACTCTCATCAGCAGTTTGCACTCTGGGTGCAGTCCTCTTCCGTCCAGCAGGGAGTTCCCAGACAAACAGGTGTGACCCGGCGGGTACTCGGTACGAACAGCTTCTGCGTCCGCACTCCCTTTCCAGGCACCATGCCCTACTTCCACCGGGTCGCGACCTCCCGGGCGCCCCCAGCCCGCAGAGATGCCCGCAGCACTCACTCTTCTGGCCAAAGCTTCCAGCAGCTGCGGCAGGCATGCTTGTGCAAGGGCGTCCTGTTCGAGGATGACGACTTCCCTGCCAGCAGTGCCTCCCTCTTCTACAGCGAGCGGCCCCCGGTCCCCTTCGTGTGGAAACGGCCAGGGGTGAGTACAGCGAGAGGGGCTGCGGAGCAGCGCAGGGGAAGGCGAGGCGCTGGGATGAGGTGTTGGCGAAAAGGGAGGAGGCGTACACAAACTCGAACTGCAAGGTTGCTTCCACAGCTGGAAACGGAAGGGCAGCAGAGTTGGATGCTCTGAGAGGAGTCCCGCTGCTTGCTCACTCGAGCCCAGCTCTCTGCTTCCACCGAGGCTAGGGCCCTGAGTCAGACAGGATCTTGTCAGTAGGCAGAGAGTGGAGTCAAAACTCTGGAAACCTGACTTAATCCAATAGAAGAAGTCTCAGGAATTCAAGGACAAACAAATGCAGAGATGGGTTGGGGGTCAGTGTGAGACAATGCTGGGATGATGCTAGGGTAGTATAGGTGAAATGTCCTCAGCTTCTGGCCCTGAGTGGAGGACACTACTTTCCATCCTCCCCCCTTCTCCCTCCATCATAGCAAGAGCTGGGTAAGTGAGTGATGAAGGAGGTACAAGTAAAGGGATGTTCCCACCTTCTGAGGTGAATCTGCTGCCCCCACCCCCAGGAGTCAGAGGTGCTGGCTCCCAGGTGGCACCAGCTGGTGCCTAGATCAGGATGTCAATATTTGCCATGCTGTATTCATCAGGCCCTCCTGGTGACCCACCCAGGCTGGCTTTTGCTCCCTTTGGGTGGCACTGGCTTGGGAGGGGCTCCTGTGGGGACAGAGGCTCGTGGGCAAATAGAGGCAATCAGAGGCCTGCAGACAAGACCCCTGCTCTGCCACTAATTTGTTACATGACTATAGTCACATGGGGAGCCCTGGTGGCTTAGTGCCTAAGGCATTTGACTGCTAATCAGAGGGCAGGAAGGAAGGAAGGGAGGGAGGGAGGGAGGGAAGGAGGGAGGAAGGAAGGAAGGAGGGAAGATTGGGCAATTTACCACCTCCGAAACCCAAGGAGGGGTCACTGTGAGTCTAATCGAATCCACTCCACAGCAGTGAGTATGTTAGGCTCAATGTCTGGCACACAGACAGTATTCAATAAATGACAGCTATCATTGCCATTACTATTACTGTCATTATCATCATCAACATCATCATTAACTTTTAGGCCCATCTCACTTATAAGTGGCACAGGACTCACCCTCTCAACATCCTCCCTGTCTCCCAACATTAATACTGCAATGGATTAAAAAAGAAACATATTGTTGTAGGCAAAACCAAAAACTTTTGAGCTCTTCAGGGTGAGCTCAAAGTAAATATTCAAAAACCCAAACCCACTGCCACTTGGTTGATTTCAACTCATAGCAACCCCCATAGGGTTTCCAAGGTTGTAAATCTTTATGGAAACACCCACAGAATGGCTGATGGGTTCAAACCATGAACCTTTTGGTTAACAGTCCAACGCCTTAACCAGAGTCCCACCAGAACTTCTTCAAAGTAAACATAAGCTCTTGATTATGTAGTGGTAAGCTCTTCATCGCTTACTTTCATTTCCTATTGTAGTCTCTGTGTGGGATGAGTATATGTGTATATGTGAGAATATATATATGTGAGCGTGTGTGACTGTGTGAATGACTTTGTATGAGTTTGTATGTATGAGTGTGTATGAGTGTGTGTTGTATATATGAGTGTGGTGGCATAGTACCTAAGGCATTTGACTGCTAACCAGAAGGCTGTAGGTTCAAACCCACCAGCCACTGCTCAGAAGGAAGGTTGGGCAATCTACTTCCGTAGTGATACTGCTTCAGAAGCCCAAGGAGGGGTCACTATGAGTCAGATCTGACTCAAGGGGAATGGATTGTGTTATGTGTGTGAGTTTATGTGAGTGTGTTTTTATGTGATGTATGTATGAATATCAGTGCATGTGAAAGTGTGTGTGTTGGGTGTGTGTGGTGTATACTACATATACGTTTGTGAATATGTGTGTAAGTGTGTGTGGTGGATAAGTGAGTGTGTGTGTGGTGCATAAGTGAATGTATTGATGTGTGTGACTGTGTGTGAGTGAGTGCCTGTGTAAGTGAGTGTGAGAGTGTGTGGTCTGTGTGTGTGTGTGTGTGTGTAGACATAGTAAGAGGCTGGGGCTCACCCAGCCACCTGAGAAAAAAACTGAGCTGACAAACAGCTTGGTTAGCCTATACCTGAGAACAATTGTGAAAGGCATGCAGTTCTCACCATATCAATCTCTCTCTCTCTCTCTCCCTATATTAAAATTATTGCAATGGTTTAAATAGGAAACATGCAAACAAGATAAAAAACTTTTGAACACTTCAGGATGGGCTCACTTCTTACCCAAAGCACAGGACACCTGTTTCATGAAGCACCGTCTCTCCAGGCCTTTCTTGTGAAGTGCCTGTGGGTAGACTCAAACCTCTAACCTTTAGGTTAGCAGGTGAGTGTATTTACCTTTTGTACCACAAGAATGAGGTTTTCCCTTTTTAAATCAATTACATGGTAGGAAAAAGTCTGGAACTTTGGATGAGGCCCTGATGACTTATCAGGTAAACAGAACAAGCCCTGAAAGCAAACATTTCAGGATGTTAGGCCCTTTGTGTTCCATGAAAACGATGCCAGTTTGATGAGGTCCTGCCTCTCTCCCAGCTTCTAGAACCCCAGCAGCAGTCTGGGTTCATATCATGATTACTGAGACCCTGTGATCAATCATCCTGGCACAGGATTGTACTTTCAGGTAACCCTCTCCTTCAAGTGCCTCCCCCAAAATTTCCCATGAACAAATGCATATTTGGGCCCCACCTATGCATGCAGGACACCCATTAACAGACACAATAAACTCAAATGCACATATGACAAAGAGGCACTGAGCATATACAGAGACACATACATGCCACATGCTTAGGCACATGCTGCAAGCACAGTTGGCAGCAAAGGCTGAGGGGACAGGGGCACAGGGAAGTTAAGAAGAAGCAGAATCTCCAGACTTGGAGTCTGTCTGATCCCTAGAAGGCTGAAGAGTCTGGCACACCCTACTGGTCAGAGATCTCCTGGCTTTCAGAGTCTACATGAAGTCCATGATAGGAATTCATAGCAATGGCCATGGTGAGCATCACTTGTTAGGGCAACAGAGCAACTCCCCTGATTGGGCTGGACAATCCAGGCAGAAAGGGCTGTGGAGGTCCCTTGGGGTCTCCTTGAGCCAGGTGCTTCAATGCACAGTCCAAAACAAACTTCCACTTTACCAAGTATGATATTCCTCGCTAGGGAATGGTCCCTTCTGACAACATGATCAAAGTAGATGAAAAGAAGTCTGTCCATTCTTTCTCTTGCCAATTCCTTCAGTGCAACTTCAACTTCTTCTTTCAGTGCTAATCATATACCTGATCACATACCACCCCCTGAAATGGATGAAAATAGACCAACTCTTTTTGGTACAGTGTATTCCTTCCATCTTCTTTTGGTGCTTCCTACATCATTCAATATTTCGCCTGTAGAATCCTTAAGTATTGCAACTCAAAGCTTGAATTTTTCTTCAGGTCTTTCAACTTGAGAAATACCAAACATGTTCTTCCCTTTTGGTTTTCTAACTCCAGGTCTTTTCTCATTTCATTACACCAGTTGAGTTTGTCTTCCCAGCTGCTCTTTGAAATCTTCAGTTCAGCTCTTTTATTTTGTCATTTTTTTCCATTTGCTTTAGCTACTCACCATTCAAGAGCAAGTTTCAGAGACTCTTCTAACATCCATTTTGGTCTTCTCTTCCTTTCCTGTCTTGTTAATGATCTTTTGCTTTCTTCATGGATTATATTCTTGATGTCATCCTACAATTCATCTGCTTTTCCATCACTGGTATTCAATGCATCAAATCTATTCATCAAAAGGTCTCTAAATTTAGGTGGGATGCAATCAAGGTTGTATTTTGGCTCTTATAGCCTTGTTTTAATTGTCTTCAGCTTCAACTTGAACTTGCATCTGAGCAGTTGATCTGTTCCACAGTCATCTCCTGGCTTTGTTTTGGCTGAAGATATTGAGCTTTTCCATCACCTTTTGCCACAGATGTAGTCAATCTGATTCCTGTGTATTCCATCTGGTGAAGTCCAAGTGTATAGCCACTGTTTGTGTTGTTGAAAAAAGGTATTTGCAATGAATAAGTCTTTGGTCTTGCAAAATTCTATCATATGATCTCCAGCATAATTTCTATCACCAAGGCCAACTCCCAGTATTTCCAACTACCGGTGATTCTTCTTTCTTTCCAATTTTCACATTCAAATCACTAGTAATAACCCACATATCTTAATTGCATGTTTGGTCAATTTCAGACTGTAGAAGTTAGTAAAAAATCTTCAATTTCCTCATCTTCGGCTTTGGTGGTTGGTGTGTAAATTTGAGTAACAGTAGTACTAGCTTTTCTTCCTTGTAGGTGTATGGATATTATCCTATCACTAATAGCACTGAACTTCAGGCTAGATCCTGAAACATTTCTTTGATGATGAATGCCATGCCATTCCTCTTAAATTTGTCATCTCCAGCATAGTAGATCATATGGTTGTCTAATTCAAAATGGCCAAAACCAGTCCATTTCAGATATCAATCTTTATGTGTTCCATTTCATTTTTTACAACTTCTAATTTTTCTGCATTCATCCTTTGTACATTCCATGTTCTGCTGTATTGGAGATTAGGGCCTGGAGCTGAGGATGAGAACACAAGGATGTGTTGATAGGAATTGAATTATGTCCCAAAAAATGTATGTTGAAGTTCTAGCCTCTGGTACCTGTGGAGATGATCTTGTTTGGAAATAGGGTCTTAGAAGTTGTCATCAGTTAACATAAAGTCATACTGGAGTAGGATGGATCCTAGTCCCTTCTGAGTGGTGACCTATAAAAAAGGAACAGAAGTACAGACAGACGGAGAAGATGGCCATGTGAGGCAGAGTTATGGAACATGGAACATCAAGGAACACCTGGGGCTACCAGAAACTGGGAAAGACAAGAAAGGATCTTCCCCTAGAGACTTCAGAGAGAACATGGCCCTGCTGACACTTTGAATTGAATTTCAGACTCCTAGCTTCCAGAAT